AATGTATGGGACCGGACATTGACAGAGCTTGACAGCTCCTTTAACAGCAAATTGGAATGGAAACGCAGCTACAGCCCAAGACCATATCGGGGATGCTTCCATTTTAGCTGCGGCTCACTCGCCTGAGAGCGACCCCCACTCATTACATCCGTGTAAATTGCAGATGTTATTGCGTAATTCAATAATTATCCAGCCGACTGCGCAGCGTTCACGTTCCATCTGCGATTCAATAGCGCAAAATTCGGCCGCGCGCGGATGTGGGCACGGGCAGGGGTGCGTTTCGGGCGCATTACCTCTCCCGTGTGTAATTTGCTTCCGCGCATCGCGTCCCGCTACTCTCCCTTACCCTTGTTCCACCCAGCAGCGCATCACCGCTGCCCACCCCCTTTTTGTGGCGTCGATTCAATACGCGCGGGTTTGTTCACCTCTCCACTCTAGCCGCCGCAGCCGCGCACCCCCGCCCCAGCGCCGTCCCTCACGCGTGCCTGGCGAGGTCCCTCTGCGCGACACACGTTTCGTTCACGCGACGCACGGGAAAATTAGGCTGTGGTCGCAGCTGACCCGATTTTGACCGAAATTTCCATCGGCCGTTTTTGTCTGACGTTTCGGATTCGTTCAAACATGTTATCATAAACGGAAGTGGTCATAATGAACCCGAATGACCTCTTCCAACGCCGTCCGAAAACATCGGCTGACGGAAGAAGATCTGTTTGGTTTGATTTTCACCATCCCACGTCGGCCGCGCGAATTTGCCCTCCAAATTATCTAGATTGTGACAGCCACCTTACGGAAGGCGGGAAGCGGAAGGAAATTCAGTCTCGATTTCTTACGTTCTTTAAAGTGTGACGTTTATTGAGAACTAACACCACCGACGTAAAGGAATTTACACAGTCATTGCATAAACACTGCGCTCACCTTTTCTCATTCTTAGTGCGCCAGATGGTAAAGAACCACTCAAAGTCCTAGTGTGCTCGGTCTCTGAAAGATAATATCAAGTTAATAAAAATCGGTCTCAGGAAACATAAACAATTAATGTTATTTACGTGTAGATAAAATCTATTTTTATCGATCGTGATTTCTAGAGAGGAGTAGGTCTCATATTGTAATCGTTTTTACTCCATAAAATTCGTTCACTACCATTTGTTAACAACTTCAAGAAATATTGTTTACAGCACAAAGGACGTACTAGTAAAGGTATGCCTAGCATTTTTGTGTACGTTCCTGTGTGATTGCGAAATTCACAATCAGTTTAAGCCAAAAGTAGTATCTGACGATCACGTTTCCATGCATTCAATGCTCCTCGCAACCGCGATTTCGCGGAAGCTCTCTCATTAAGGGAAGTCGGCCCATTTCTGTGTATTCAATGTCAACGGGAATTCCCGCATGTTTCCGGTCAGCTTTGAAGCTAAGTCGGCGAAGCAGCGAAGGCGAGCGGGAGAGGGCGGCGGCGGTAGTAAGCGGAGTAAACGGAGCCAGCGCGCAAGGGTGCGGGTGCGAGGTGCGCCGTGGCGTGGCGCAGATAGGCAACTCCTCGCACGCGGGAGCACGGCGGAGCAGCGCTCGCGCGCGCCCTGTGCCCACCCGCTCCCGCC